CTAAATAAAATACAATATAGGGCTGGTCGAGTGCCCCTGAGCTCAATCCCCAGTATAAAAAAAAAAAAAAAAAATTTCAGAGGCCTTAGACCATAAGTGGCCAACTACATCCTACATCCCTTGGGGCTCCAGGTGAGGTGGTACATCATGGCAGAGGAATGCAGCTGGGAACGTGGCACCAGAAAGCAGAGAGAGACTCTACTTGTTGGGGATGAAATTTATACCCCAGAGGCTCACCCCCAAAGACCTACCTCTCCCAGCCACACCCTACCTGTCTTTAGTTACCACCCAGTTGATCCCTCTCAGAGAATTAATTCACTGATTGGTTTAAAGTTCTCATAACCCAATCACCTTGAAACCTTCTTATGTTGTCTCACATCAGGTTTTGGGAGACATCTCACATCTAAACCATAAGGGCCCAGTGTATGTGTGTAGTGTGTGTGTGTGTGTGTGTGTGTGTGTGTGTGTGTGGTGATAAACTAGTGGGATCAATACAATTATGTAAGTAATATGTAAGAAAGGACAGTAAAGGGAGTAGCGGGTTATGGGGAACATTTCAATCACTTTGGTTCAATGAATCAAACATAAGCACCTGTGAACATCTATCATGTGCCTAGCCCTAACCCAGAACTTTGAGATACATCACTGAACAAAACACATAAGGATGGTGTCTCTAGGAAGCTTATTTTCTCTTTTTTGTTTGCTTGTTTCTTTTGGTACTGGGGATTGAACCCAGGGGTGCTCTACCACTGAGCTATATCCTCAGCTCTCTTATTTTTATTCTTTTTAAAATTTTTGAGACAGGTTCTCCCTAAGTTGCTTAGGGCCTTGCTCAGTTGTTCAGGCTGCCTTGACACTGAGATCCTCCTTCCAAGTTGCTGGAATTACAGGCTTGCACCACCATATCCAGCTCAGAAAGCTGACTTTCTAATGTGAGAAGATGATTTAACTACTTGGGAGGCTGAGGCAGAAGGATCACAACTTTGAGGTCAGCCTTGGCCATTTGAGACAGAGACCCTGTCTCAAAATAAAATAAAAAGGGTTGGCGATGTAGTTCAGAGGTAGAGTGCTTGCCTAGCATGCACAAACATTGGGTTCAATCCCAGTACAGCAAAAATAAAATAAAATAATAATAATAACCACAGTAATAATTCACTGTTCACTATAAACATAACATATAAGTATACTATGTGGGACGTTATAAAGTATAATTACTATGGAGGGAGAAGGAAGGTCAGGAAGTTGGGGCAGGAGGATCCAAGTTCAAAGCGAGTGCTTGGCCACTTAGTGAGACCTTGTTTCAAAATAAAAAATAAAAAAGGTTTGAAATGTAGCTCAGTTGTAAAGTTCCCCTGGGTTAGATCCCCAACACCACACACACACACACACACACACACACAAATGTGGTATGAGATTGCAGCGTGTATTTTGTGTGTGGGGGGTGGGAGGGAGGGAGAGATCATTGGGGATGAAACTGGGGTCCTCTTGCATGCTAGGCAGTATTCTATTACATACCCATTCCCATTGCAGTTTTTAAGAGTGTCTAGTATCATGTATAACTAAAAAGAACAAAAAAAAAAAAAAAAAAAAAAAAAAGAATGGATGGGACTGGCCTCATTCAACAAATCCATGGGGATGTATTGGAAAGAAGATTTCCAGGCAGAGGGCACAGCTGGTGAAAAGGTCCTGGGTTAGGAGTGCATCTGAGAGAAAATGTTGAAGGGGATAGGTTTTGCTCTTCTTGGGCACTAGAAAGACTTTGGGCTTTTACTTGGAGAAAAGGGATGAAAGCATATTTTCCTGCCAGCTTTCTGGATTTTCTTCTTAAGTGTCTTATTTGGAGTGTGTATGTGTAGGTCTGACAAGGGCGGACATTGGGGTGTAGTCACCGGCCTCCAGATCTCATAACTAGCCGTTGCCTCTTCTTCTCACCACCTTACTTTTCAGGCTGAGGCGCGTTCATTTCACTCCCTCGGGGTTTTTTTTTTTTTTTATGACACACCCAAGCCCTGGGAACTGTTTCTCAACCACAGAGAAAATTAAAGGTGAGAGGGACCCCCTCCCATCCCGCCTTCCTTATTAGAGCACGGACTCCTGGCCATCATCATGAAAGTTTCCCAGAGGGACAGGGAGTCAGGAACTGGAGAATGGTGAGCAGCAGGGGTCCCAACAAATCTCACACCTACTTGGAGGAGATATAAATGTTCGATCCTCCTCACCTCCTGGCTCTTGGCCCCCCTCTCCCTCCTACATCTCACACACACACACACACACACACACACACACACTCCTGACACAATGGCTGGGTGGGGCGGAGGAACTGGCTTCCTTTGCGGAGATTGCAATCTGGGCCCTTAGCTCCTGCCCCAGAAACAGGATCAGACCCTTGGAGACCTCAGCCCTTGGAGAACTCAGCCTGCATGCCTTGTTCCAATGGGCAGGTAGGACAGGCTGAAAAATAGAAAACACTCCTAAAGATAAAGGTAAATCATGGGGAGCCCCTGGAGAGTTAGGGGTCCCTTGCTGTGAAATAGTGGGCTGGTTTACATGCAGGGGACAGGTTGGAAAGCTAAAGAGACAGGCGGTCGAGCAAGTCGTGAGAGATGGTTAGACACGCTGTGTAAGGACACACACACACACACACACACACACACGCCATCCCTTAGCTGAGATAGAGACACATAACAACCATGCTGTACTGTCAGCCCAGCCCTTGGTCCATCGCCACCCCATCCTCACCCTACCCTGTCCACCCCGGTCCTGGGAGCCCCTGTGCACCCAGCAAAGCTGACAGGATGTGCACATGTGGAGCACTCTGATCTCTAGTCTGGGTCTCAGCCCTTCTTCAGACCTGTTAACCTGCGACACTCTGGATACTGGGATCCTCACGTCTCCCAGAGCCCTAGTGTGCGCATGTGGAGTGTGGTGTGGTTGGTGGGGGGGGGGGTGTCCGGTTGGGAGGAGGATCCAATTCCTGTTTCCTGCCCCTACTCACTCAGCCCTGGGAGGTGACTGAGAGTGGAGGGGACTCAAGGGTGAGTGCTTGGGGCCCTGACTACCTGGTCCCTTCAAGAGGCCTAAGTGGGGTGTGGGGAAGAAAGTAAATGCTGGTGCCTAAAGAGAGTGGGGAGTGGAGTGGGATCCCTGAGGGGGGCAGGGGCTGGGGAGGAGCTAGCCAGCTCTTGAGGCTACTGTGAGGGTCACCTTGCTAAGTGGCTTCCTGCCAGAATGCAGAGGTCCCTGAGCACAAAGCTCACAGGCTACAACCCCCAGCCCCCATCCTACATCACCAGTTCTAAAGAACCTGATGTAGGGCCAGGAGGGATGTGACTTCTGACTCCTGAAGGGAGTCTGGGCTCCCCTGTACTCCCGTTCTGATTCTGCAATCTTCTTGGGACTGCAGCCTCTTTCCCTGAGAGAGAAAGAGAAGTTCAGGCCCCAAAGTCCTGTCTCTGCTGGTCCTATCCTTTTCTCTGGTCTCCGGCCACCTCCCCAGGCATCCTGGCAGGACCCAGCCCTTCAGTGGAGCCTCTCTCTGTGAGCAGCCCCAGGGAGTGGGTAGGCAGGGATGAGAGGATAGGGGTCAGACGAGACCATGCAGGAGCCTTCTGGTCTCCTGGGGTCAGAGACTCCAGGAATCTTCGTGGCAGGAAAAGGAGACTAAAAATAATCCGGAAAGGGAGAGTCCGGAGAGAGGAACTGGGAAATGGGGGGTGGAGGGCCTGCTGGAGCAGGGAAACAGTGATGCATCTCTCCTAGCCCAGGCAGGGGCGTGCACACATGCGCCTGCGCACACACAAATCCACACTCCATCCAGACAGCATGGAACACACGTACACCTTCACACCCCGACTTTATACACTTACATCACACACTCCTTAACAGACCACACGGTCTACCCTGCCCTCCCACTGCACACCTACCTACTGAACACACAACCTACACTCACCACACACCATGCAGCCCCCACTTGTACTGTAGCAGATAGGGAACACCCTTAAAACACACACAAACCTCCACGACTCACATTGGCACACAGTTTATTAGGCAGACACATGGTAGCTGTCATGGCAAGCCAGATTCCCTTTCCTGCATCTTACTAGTTCTCTGCATCATGCATCCTTTATCTTGGGTCTCTACCTAGTCACTGCCCCCTACTCCCACTGTCTCCCTTGGCCTCACTGTGGCAGCAGAAGTCAAAAATTTGAAGCCTAGTACAATGGTGCAGACCTGTAATCCCAGCTACTCAAGAGGCCGAGGCAGGAGGATTGCCAAGTTTGAGGCCAGTCTTGGCAATTTTGTGAGACCCTGTTTCAAAATAAAATTTTAGAAACACTAGGAATGTAGCTCAGTGGTAGAACACTTGCCTAGCATGTGCAAGGCCCCAGGTTCAATCCCCAGTACTGCATAAATAAATAAATAAGCAAACAAACAAACAAATAAATAAATAATAAATAAAAGCCAGGTGTGGTGATACATACCTGTAATCCCAGTAAATCTGGAGGCTGAGGCAGGAGACTCACAAGTTTGAGGCCAGCCTCAGCAATTTAATGAGTCCCTTGGCAACTTAGGGAGACCCTGTCTTAAAATATATATAAAAGGGCTGGGGATGTGGCTCAGTGGTTAAGTGCTCCAGGGTTCAATCGCCACTACCAAAATAAATAAATAAATAAATAAATAAATGTTTTTAAAAATTCAAAAATTTAAGCCAGGCCTGGTGGCACACACCTGTAATCTCAGAGGCTTCCCAAGCAGGAGACAGGAGGATCGTGAGTTCAAATCTAGCCTCTGTAATGGCGAGGCACTAAGCAACTCAGTGAGACCCTGTCTCTAAATAAAATACAAAATAGGGCTGGGGTTGTGGCTCAGTGGTTAGTGCCCCTCTTCAATCCCTGGTACCAAAAAAAAAAAAAAAAAAAAAAAAAATTAAATAAAGAGAAAAAGGACCAAGAAAGGCTGTGCAGGAGAGTTCAGGAACAGAATGAGAAGGAAGGATGGGAGATGGAGGCGAGAGAAGGCAGTGCAATTGGGAAGGAAGGAGAGGAAATACACCAGCCTTTTCTCCTGACCCCAAATCATGGCTTCACATGGCCCCAGTCTACCCACTAAAGGGTCTCTCTCTTCCTCCATCCTCCTCAGGGGATGACTCCAGCAGATCACCCCACTTCTTTGAAGAGCCCAGAGAAAGATGTCGGCCCAGTCCCTTCCTGCAGCAACACCCCCTACTCAGAAGCCCCCGAGGATCATCCGCCCCCGGCCCCCTTCTCGTCCCCGGGCTCCCCACTCCCCGGGGCCTCCCCTCAATGGCTCCTCTCCACAAGCACTTCCCCGAGCCTCCAGTGAGGCACCAACCCCAATGTGCTCCCCTATTTTCTGGGAGCCCCCAGCTGCATCCCTCAAGCCCCCTGCCCTTCTGCCTCCCTCAGCTTCTAGAGTCAGTCTTGACTCCCAGACTCCCCCAGATTCATCTTCCAGGTCCCCCAGTCCTGCGTCCCGGCGATCCATCTCTCCCGAACCCACTCCCTGTTCCCCGGTTCCCCCACCTAAGCCCTCTGGGTCACCCCGCCCAGCTCTGCCCCTGCTCCCAGGGACTGAGGCCCCCAACCAGGATGGCTCTGCCTCTGCCCCTGGCACTGTGCGGAGACTGGCAGGCAGGTTTGAATGGGGAGCTGAAAGCAAGAAACACACTTCGGGCTCCCTCGAGCGGGGTTCTCAAGGGGGAACAGATGTGAATGGGGAGAGAGAGGCTCCTCACGTCATGCTGACCGGGAATGGGTCCCAGGAGAATGGCGCTCTGGGTAAGCATATGGAGGGGGCTGGGGTGGCCTCATTATAGCTCATCTTTGTTCTCAATAATGAAAACTGGGAAATTTCATGGACTAGTTTTTTCCAAAAATGGATTTTGTGTTTGGAAAATCGGGTTTCTACATTTCTGGAGGTTTGAACACAGGGTGGAGGAGATGTATAGATGCCAGGGCTGGACCTTGATATTGAGAGGAATCCCTGGGGGTGGGCCACCCAGGCCCCAAGGTCTTTCTCCTTAGGGTCTCCCATCTGCCACAGATGCTGCTCTTGCCTGCCCTCCATGCTGCCCCTGTGTCTGCCACGTAGCCCGGCCTGGCCTGGAGCTCCGATGGGTGCCAGTGGGGAGCCCTGAAGATGGCCCCAGGGCTCTCTGTCGTGCCTCCCCGCTAAGGACCTCCCGCTCCTGCCCTAACCCTCCAAGCATCAGTCATCCCGCAGTGGTCCTCACTTCTTATCGGTCCACTGCTGAACGCAAGCTCCTGCCACCTCTTAAACCCCCTAAACCAACTCGGGTCAGACAGGATACCACCATCTCTGGGGAAGCTCCACAGCCAGATCTTGATCTACCTTCTGAAGATGGAATCCAAACAGGTACAGGGTCTGTGTGTTTGTGTGTGTGTGTGTGTGTGTGTGTGTGCTCGCGCCCCTATGCATTTGTGTGTCTGTGTGTAGAATTTTTGTGCTTCGAAGGGGCGGGGCATAGGTGGATTGGCCTAAAACCCAACCAGCTACAAGCTATAGGCCCTGGGAGTTTTCTTCTTCAACCAGCTGCTGCTCTGGGCTGATGGGAGTTGTAGTTTTTAATAGCAATAGTCTCTCCTAGGGCTGGGGTTAGGAGTCCTGGGCTAGGGGTCTTGGAGGTTTGTTCTTTTCACTCCGGGTTCTCTCTCCAGCAGAGAGTCCTGATGAAGCTCCTGGGAATGCTCATCCTACAGCCATGGAGGGAAGGTACAGGATTCTCTACCCTTATTCTCCACTCTTCTCCCTACTGTCTTCCACCTGAGGGTAGGCTATCCTTCAGGTCCAGGTGAATCCCACCTCCACAAAGGTGGAAGGAAGAAGGGTTAGGGCTATAGAGACAGGCAGTCCCCATTTCTTATCCCAGCTCTGTTCCCTCTTAGTTATGTGACTTTATACAAATTCTCAGCCTTTCTGGGGTCTCAGCATTCTTACTTAGGAAATGGGCATAAGAATACCCCAGCTAGTTCATGGGATCATTGGGGTATATTGCTAAAGAGCTGGTCCATAGCAAGTTCTCCATTTTAATTCTGTTTTCTCACTTTGAATCTTTATTGCGATTATTATCCACAAATCCATTTGGCAACCATGACCATGTCTTCTATGTTATCTGGATTTGTTAATCATCTTAGATTTATTGTTGTTATCAGAGGCAATTCAGTTCCATTTATTTATTCATCAATCATTTACTAGTATGGCTTTTAGTGCGAGTGAATAGTGCTGGTACCAGTGACTAGAACAGGGGAGACAGAACTGTGGGTAGTGGTAGGCAGGTGTGAGAGTTTGACCATGTGGAGTTTCATTAAGGCACAAATAGGACCTTCCAGATAATGGTTGCAGGGCTAGGGATGTGGTCCAGTGGTAGAGTGCCTGCCTGACATGCTCAAGACCTTGGGTTTTTCTCCCTCACACTGCAAAAATAAAATTAAAAAATAAATACTGGTCAGGCAATAGTTGCTACATAAAAGAGCTGGAAACAGATTTGGAAGTCTCTGGTACACAGTAGTTGAAATAACAGGAATGGATGGGGCCCCCTTTAGTTCAGGGCCTCCCTTACAGCAGGCACATAAAACATCTGAGGAGCCACTGGGTCCCTACATACAACATGCATGTGGTTTATGCATCACTTCCACTGTCATGTGAATAGCACCCATGGAGCTGTGGCCTTGGGGACTCCCTTAGCTTTCTCTTTCCACAGGGATGAAGAGGGGCTGGAGGGACTAAAGGAACAGAACTGGGAGCTGCCCCTGCAGGATGGTGAGGGTCTCTGGATCTGGGGGTCACTTCTGTAGAGAAAGGGTCTAGGGCTCTTGACTTTCCTGATGTGCTCTGTCTGCATTCCAGAACCTCTGTACCAGACCTACCGAGCAGCCGTGCTATCAGAGGAGCTGTGGGGGGTTGGTGAGGATGGGGGTCCCTCTCCAGCAAATCCTGGGGAACCTTCCACTTTCACACGGCCCCCTGGACCTCGAAACACCCTGTGGCAGGAGCTTCCAGCTGTGCGAGCCAGTGGCCTCCTGGAGACCCTCAGTCCCCAAGAGAGGCGCATGCAGGAGGTGGGCACACTTGAGGTGGGGCTGGGTAGGCTGACATAGGGGAGGAGGATGTCCTGGGTCCTAGGCTGGTTATGAGTGGCACTTTGCACTATGGTCCTGCCCTTCCCAGAGCCTATTCGAGGTGGTGACATCTGAGGCCTCCTACCTGCGCTCCCTGCAGCTGCTGACTGACACCTTTGTGCTGAGCCAGGCACTTCGGGACACACTCACCCCTCGGGATCACCACACACTCTTCTCCAATGTGCAGCGAGTCCAGAGCGTCAGTGAGCGGTCAGTGGAATCCTGCCTTCCCAGGAATCTTGATCTGGGGCTGCTGAGCACCCCGTTAGCTTTCTCCCTACCAGGTTCTTCCTTCCATGGACCCAGGAAGCACCTGAAGACCCAGCTGTCTGCACCCCTCCATTGCTTACTCCCCCAACTCCTTCAGGTTTCTAGGAACATTACTGTCCCGTGTGCGTTCTTCGCCACACATCAGTGACCTGTGTGATGTGGTGCACGCTCATGCAGTGGGTCCCTTCTCGGTGTATGTGGATTATGTGCGGAATCAACAGTATCAGGAGGAGACCTACAGTCGCCTAATGTGAGTAGGGTATTTCCTCAGACTCTATGCGAGAATATGTTCTCAGACCCCCAGTGGATGCCTGAAACTGTGACTAGTACTAAGCCCTATATATTCTATGTTTTTCCTATACCTACATACCAATGATAAAGTTTAATTTATAAATTAGGCAGAGTAAGAGATTAATAACATTAATTAATAAAATGGAAAAATTATAACAATATACTGTAGTAAAATTGCTAACATTACTTCTCTTGCACTTTAGTACACTTAATAATAGCAGTTGCATTACTAAAATAAAGCAGTGCAATATCTCCACAGTCAATCTGATAACTGGTACAGTGACTAAGTGACTAATGGGAGGGTAGGGTATAGGATGTGGATATGCTGGAGAAAGGGATGAGTCAAGTTCCAGGTGGAATGGAATGGAATGGCTTGAGATTTTACTTAGAAAAGCACATAATTTAAAACTTATGAATTGTTTGCTTCTGCAATTTCCTATTTAACATTTTATGACTGAAGTTGACTTTGGCTAATTGAAACTGTGGAAAGCAAAAAATCACGAATAAGGGAGGATTATTATATCTCAGAGTTGTGGGAGGAAGCTGGAGTGAGCGTCTCTGAGGTCAGAGCAACTGAGGGATCAGTGCCTGGCTCCAGGTAGCAGCCATTAGCCAGGTGGGCCTGTTTTTGCAGGGACACAAACATGCGCTTCTCTTCGGAGTTGCGTAGGCTGCAGAGCCTCCCTAAGTGTGAGCGGCTTCCACTACCATCCTTCTTGTTGCTGCCTTTCCAGCGCATCACCCGGCTCCGCATGTTGCTACAGGTACCTTTTCTATCCTTCCAGTCCCATTGAAGGTCTTTTCCCAGGGATCTCTGTTCTGGTCAGCACCATTTCCTACCCATAAATTACTCCTAATCTGAGCCTCTCAGTTCAGGACCCTGGACACCCTACCTGGGAGATACCGAAATGCACCAGGGAACAGACTAGGTACGAGAAAAGGGCCTCTGGCGGGAGACATGAGTTCTAGACTTAACTTTCTCTGCTCAGCCACTAACTAGTTGATATCACCTCCAAAGGGGCAAAATTGGTTCTTGGGGGATGAAAATTAAAATCTTAAATATTCCAATGGTTGTGGTGTTTCAAAAATGGAATATAAGCAGATTTACAGAATGTAGAATTTAATTTTCTTTGGGGGAGGGGAGTCTGGGGAGGTAGCTCAGTGAGAGTGCTTGTCTAACATGCTCAAGGCCCTGGGTTCAATCCCCAACACTGAAAATAAATAAATAAAAAGTAGAAGTTGTGATGGGTAGGATACTTAGAGGAAAAATGTCTTAAAATCCTTCCTTAGCAAGGTAATACTGAGGGCAGGGGGAAGAAGGTTTAGAAATACTCTTCTAGGACTAGGGAGCTCAGTGGCAAAGCATTTGCCTAGCATCCATGAGGCCCTGGGTTCAACCCCTGTCACCTCATTAAAAAAATAAACAGCAATAAAAGATTAAAACAAACACACAAGCAAACACTCTTCTATTGCAAAATTGAGATTCCTTTATAACCAGATCAATGTAGAGATCTTCATGTGAATAGTCCCCAACTAGATAATCAGATTTTTTTATGTCTTTGTTTTTTGCAGTGCTGAGGATCAAACCCAGGGCCTTGTGCATGTTAGGAAAATGCTATACCACTGAACTATTCCTTCAGCCTACATTCTTTGTCTATTCAGCTTTATCTATTCTTAGTATAAATAACACAATAATAAAAATGATACCAATCATAATATCTTAACAGCTATTGAGTGTGAGGTTCTAGTTATAGTTCTTAGTGCTATATACCTTTTAATATCACTGACAACTTGTGAGAGCAGTAACTATTATTTACCCTATACAGAAGAGGAAACTTAGGTATGGGTTAAGTAACTTGCCTAACTCATGCAAAAATAAGCAACAGAGCCTAAAGTGAAATCCAGGTACTTTTAACTACCCTGCTCCATTGTTTGCACTACATTGTTTGCTATTATTAAAATAATAGCCACCCTCTTTTTCAGCTTTTTATTTACACATATATGTGTGTGTGTGTGTGTGTGTGTGTGTATATATATATATATATTTTTTTTTTTTTTGTGCTGGAAATTGAAACCAGAGGTGTTTAACCACTGAGCCACATCCCTAGCCCGTTTTTTAATATTTTATTTAGAGACAGTATCTCTCTGAGTTGCTTAGGGTATTGCTAAATTGCTGAGACGGCTTTGAACTTGTGACCTTCCTGCCTTAGCCTCCGGAGCCACTGGGATTACAAGCATGTGCCACCACGCCTGGCTCTTTTTCAGCTTTTATTGTATGCCAAGATTGTCTAATATTACCTCCTTAAATCCTCACAACAATGGCATTGATATGTTATGTAGGTATTAACTGCATTTTACAATTGGGAAAACTGAGGCTCAGAAAGGTAAAACTCAGAGTTTTGTGGCTGGTGAGTGGTGAACCTGACTGAGGCTTGTTCCCACTGCCTTATGAACCCCAAACTTAGCATTTCTCCAAGCCAGGCAGGTTCCTCTGAGCTGTGGCTCCTCTGAATCCCAGGGCTGAGCAGTGGGCCCAGTTACCTTCTTCCTTATCTCCAGAATATCCTGCGCCAGACAGAGGAGGGATCCAGTCGCCAGGAGAATGCTCAGAAGGCCTTGGGTGCTGTCAGCAAGGTGGGCAGGAGAAAAAGTGGGAGAGGTGACCAAGTAGAAGGGAAAGGTGGGAGGGAGCAGGGGCCCAGCTGCTGGGGTGGGTGACTCGGCTCTGCTCCCTCAGATCATCGAGCGTTGCAGCGCTGAGGTGGGGCGCATGAAGCAGACTGAAGAGCTGATCCGACTCACCCAAAGGCTGCGCTTCCACAAAGTCAAGGTTAGTGCCTACCAGGACCCTCCATCTTGCCCTTCCCCACGTTGCTACTGCGAAGCTAAACCCTCCTTTGCTTCCTCTCAGGCTCTGCCCCTGGTCTCCTGGTCACGGCGCCTGGAGTTGCAGGGGGAGCTGACGGAGTTAGGGTGCAGGAGAGGGGGTGTGCTCTTCACCTCCAGGCCTCGCTTCACCCCCCTCTGCCTGCTGCTCTTCAGTGACCTGCTGCTCATCACTCAGCCCAAGAGGTGGGTCCCGAGGAGAGGGAGCCCAGACTGGAGTATAGATGAGGCCTCCAGTAGGATTCCTGCTCTCCTTCTGAACGCCCTCTTTCCTGGGCAGTGGGCAGCGGCTACAGGTTCTGGACTATGCCCATCGCTCCCTGGTGCAGGCCCAGCAGGTTCCAGACCCATCTGGACCCCCTACCTTCCGCCTCTCCCTTCTCAGCAACCACCAGGGACGCCCCACCCATCGGCTACTCCAAGCTTCCTCCCTGTGAGTTGTCTCCAGAAAACATCCCTGGGGGCTGAGCGGTGGAGCTCAGTGGTAGAGCACTTGCAAAGCATGCACAGGGTCCTGGGTTCAACCTTCAGCATCAAAAACAAACAAACAAAAAACATCCGTGGGGCCCCCTCCTCTGACCTCAGACCCCACCAACTCATTCACCATTCTTTCACCTCTGTGACTTCTGTCTCACCACCAGGAGGCTCTCTTGGGCCAACTGTGACCCCTCCCTCTATCCCCACCAGATCAGACATGCAGCGCTGGCTGGGAGCCTTCCCTACCCCAGGTCCTCTTCCCTGCTCCCCAGACACCATCTATGAGGACTGTGGTGAGTGTCCCATACAGGGGAGAAGGGAAGGAAAAAAAACGAGTCTTAAGGGGAATATTGGGGAGAAGCTAAAAAGAATATGGATCCCACTGAATGCCCTCTACCAGAGTGTTCCCAGGAACTGTGTTCAGAGCCATCTACACCTGTCAAGACTGAGGCACGGATTCTGGAATCCAGAGCTCCATCCAAACAACTGCACAAGAGTCCTGAAGGTGAGAGAATCTTTCATTTACTGATTCAATCAACATGCATTAAACACATATAAAGGCCCACTCCTGCCCTGCTGAAGCATGCATTCATCTTTCTTTCTTTCTGCTGTGCTGGGGATTGAGCCCAGGGCCTTCCATATGTTAGGCAAGTACTCTACCACTGAACTAGATTCCCAGCCCTGGAGCATGTATAAAATAAAATAAACGTGAGACAATTAAAAAACCAAAAACAAAAAACCATGAGGCTGTATAGCTCAGTTAGTAGAGTGCTTGCCTCACATGCACATGGCCCTGAGTTCAATCCCCAGCACCACACACACACACACAAATAAGCAAACAAACCTGACAAATAAGTAAATAATATGTGGTCTCTTGGAAGGCAGTTAGTGCAATGGTTAAACTAAAGTAGAAAAAAGTAAGGAAGCCAGGAATTCCAGAGTTAACAGAATTACAGTTTCAAATAGGGAGGCTGAGGTGGATCTCAGTGAGGAGGCAACATGTGAGTTTGATGCACATGAGTAATTTGGGCTTATGGTGTCAGGAGGAAAAGTGTCCCAGTTGGAGGAAACAGGCAGTGACAAGGCCTTATGGCCTGCTGTTGTGATGGGGGGAGGGTAGGGAGGACAGAGGGAGCCAGAAAATGGGAAAGGAACAAATGAAATTAGAGAGGTAACAGAGACCATATCTTGCTGGTCCTTGTAGGTCCCTTTAAGATCTCCGTGTCTTACTCTAAGTGGCATGAGGGGGCCCCTGCAGGACTGAACAGAGGAGTGACCCAGATCCTCTCTGATACTGCTGTCACTCCCAGAGCAGCATCTGATGCTCATGTCTTTCTACCGATGCTCCAGGCTTCTCTACTAATTCCCATCCCCACTTTGACCCCCAAAGGCCTGAGATCCTATAGGGCCTCCTTTCCCTCCTCACCTGCCCTCTGAACCCACCCCACTTGAGTCCCTGTCTCTTTCCTCAGGCTGGCTGAAGGGGCTTCCTGGGGCCTTCCCTGCCCAGTTGGTGTGTGAAGTCACAGGAGAACACGAAAGAAGGAAGCATCTTCGTCAGCACCAGAGGCTTCTTGAGGCTGTCGGACCCTCTTCAGGCACCCCTAGCACCTCTGCACCCTGATGCAAACTGGGGATGGGGCACAAGCTGGGGCTCTGGCAGCGTACATGGAGAGGACAAAGCTAGTCCAACCATCCATTGGACTCACAGTCAGTGGAAACACTACCTCTAGTGGCAACCAATGGGAACTGAGCATCAGGACTGGGCAGCCAATGAAACAAGGCTGTCTGAGCCCAGAGCAATAAGAAAGAATAAGGATGGCTTGAATGTGTTGCCAATGGAGACACAAGCTTAGTACAGTGTGGTCAATGGGTACTGAGCTGGCTGAGCCCTTTGCCAACAAGTATCTTTGCTATGCTCACAGCCAAGGAAGACCATGCCAGTCAACGCAGTTAAAAAAGGACTGCATTGGACATCAAATGCCATAGCCAATGGGGATAAGCAGGGACCCTTCCAGCCAAAGAAGACAGGGATCTGAGCTGAAGCACCCAGTAGTCACCCTGCTTGGTTCTACAGCAACCACTGGTGCTGCCCTTTGAGTCTGTGAAATACTAGATTCTATTCCTGGGGTACCTCCTGTGCCCTCTCAAGCCAGTTCCTCTCTTCTAAAAGAATCCAGAATATGCATTTCAGAGAATGTGTGTGTGTATGTGCATGTGTGCATCTGTGTGTTTATGTACAGGAAAGGCGATTCTGCTGAACATGGTATGTGTGTATGGTAGCCACTAAATGACTAAATGCTCCATTTCTTTCCTTACCTTGCATTTTCCCTTTTATTCTCTCCAAGAAAGACATTAGGTCTGAGCTCCAGAGGAGCTGGGTGTAGCTTGGCAATCAGAGGCCAGAGCTAGGGAGCCCAAGGGACAGAAGATGGTCAGTAGCTTGGACTCAAGGTCTCTTGAAGTCCTTCTCCTTGCCCCAAATACTGGCTTCCATATTTCCTGCCTGCATTTTCCCTCAACTTGAACTATCATGTCAGCCATCCTCAGCCTCAGACTGAATGTGCTCTGGGTCCCTAGTTTGGGTGAAGAAATGGGAGTTGAGGCTCATAGGCCTGCTGCAAGTCTGGTCTTCTCACTTAGATCCTGATCCTCTCACGGAAACAGGAATGAACAGTGCAGAGAGCCTGGAGATCTAGTGGTGCTGCCTAACCTCAAGCAGAGTGCCTGCTTCCAGCTAAGAAATTGCCTCCATGATGCCAAAGGAGATGAAGGCTGGAGACAGCAAAACAGGCAGTGACTGGTTAGTGGAGGCCCAGGCCCGGGACACAGCCTTCTCTGCACTAGACTATTACACGGTCCCTTCAGCTCAAGCACGGCAACTTGCCCGGGACAGAAAATGCCGTGTCAAAAGCAAGAGGTACAGGGACACTCGAAACTTGGAGGGAGAAGATCCCTGGCATTTAGCTTGTCCATGACTTTGGAGATTCACCTAGCATGGTGCCTGTTGTATGGGAAACCCATAATAAATGTTGGTGGAGTTGCATGGAGGCTCCACCAGGGCAGTGTATGCTCAAAGGAGCAATGGCCTATAAATATGGTTTTGTAAGGGGGAGTGCACCTAGTTGGAAAAGTGTCAAGGGCAGGCATCTGTTCCTCGGGGAATTGGGGCTCGGAGACCAGGTGCGAGGCCTGAGAGTGTTGGCTCACTCACAGCTCCCGAGACATCTAAAGTGGCAGTGGTGGTGGGAGCAACTGCATTGATTTGAGGGGCTGCTGCAAGCTGGAATAGAAGTCTGGGCAACACCAGGCATGGCTGGGGCTCTGGAAGGGAACGAAGATGCAGTGAGAAGGCCAAAAGGAGAAGCGAGTCGGCAATAAAGGCCTCTTACTGAGCAGCCAACCATTTCTGTGTTTGATTCAGTTCTGCACCTCTTTGTTGAGTCCCTTCTATGTTCCATGCACTGTTTCAGGATCTGAAGAGACAGAGATGATAAAGACAAGATCCTTTTCTCCAAGGTCCTACACTGCAAGGGGGGGGGGGAGCAATTACCAAGTCAACAAATTAATAAACAATATAGCAGGGTGGGGTGGCTTTTGGAAGACCTTGGAATTGATGATATTTGAGCTAAGACCCAGATGACAAGAAGGAAGATCTGGAGAGAGTAGCAACAAGGGGATTAGAGGCCAGGAGCAGAAGGGAGAGGGAGTGGGGAATGGAACTGATGCATGTGTTCCTTCAAGTTCCCTGATGCGGGGAGTCTCTCCCCATCCTTCTTGCTGTTTGGCATTAGAGACAAACAGATACTCAGAGACAGACAGACAGACATCCAGGAGCAGACACAAAGCTACACATATGCCCTACATATTTTCCCTCCCAGCTTTTCATCTCTTACTAAAGTCCTACACTAAGGAAGTATCCATGCCTCAATTCTGAAGTTCTAATGGTGAGATAAGGCGGAGACGGGCACCAGCTAAGACTTATCTTGGAGACAGAAAGGCACATAAAATATAACCATTTGTTCCAAAAGAGACTGAGTAGACAGGGGAGAAAGGAAATTGACGTGTTTCCTGTCTTCCTGGAGTTGGTTTCTGGTATCTTAGAGCACCCTTTTCATTTTGGGATGACCTGAGTGTGCAGTCCCGCAGGGGTCTGGATTCTGCAGCTCTGTTCCAGGAGCCTGAAGGGCATGAAGCACAGCTATATGGGAAAGGAGCAGATGTGTAAGAGTGAGAACCTCAGCGAAATGAGGGTAGATGGAAACCCAAAAGGGGATGAGGTAAGGAAGACAGACGAGGAAGAATGACGGGGGGTGGGGGAGTACAGGTGTTACAGGTCCTGGCAGCTGGTTACTTGGCTCATCCTTGATTCTCTCTCTCCCTCTTCACATTGTTCTCCCATTCTCTGCCAGGCATTGGCTTCATGGATTGAACCTAAGGACACTCATACACTGAGCCACATACCCAATCCTTTTTGTTTTAATTTTTAAATTTTGAGATAGGGTCTCACCAGGTTGTTTACAATCTCATTAAGTTGCTGAGGCTGGCTTTGAACCTGAGAACCTCCTGCCTCAGCCTACTGAGCTGCTGGGATTACAGGCATATGCCACCATGCCTGGCCCAGGCATTGGCGGCTTCTTTTCTTTCTTTCCTTCCTTCCTTCCTTCTTTCTTTCTTTCTTCGTGGTGGGGTGTACCAGAGATTGAACTCAGGGGCACTTGACCATTGAGACACATCCCCAGCCCTAAATTATACTTTCTTTAGAGACAGGATCTCACCTAGTTGCTTAGCACCTTGCTTTTGCTGAGGTTGGCTTTGAACTTGCGATCTTCCTGCTGTTGAACCCACAAAGCAAAGACCAACGACTCCCATTTTAAACCAAATTAAAGCCAGCCTATATTGTGTACACAAGACAGCTGTAAAACAAATAAAAAAATAATTTTAAAAAAGACAGCTGATCAGTGACTGCCTTACCCAAATGCAGGGCCAGGGGACAGCGCTGGTCTAAGGGCAGGGGACTTTTTTTTTTAGTTGTAGTTGGACACATATCTTTATTTTATTTTTATGTGGTGCTGAGGATGGAACCGAGTGCCTCACACATGCAAGGCAGGTGCTCTACCACTGAGCTTCAGCCCTAGCCCCAGGGGACTTTTTATAACAAAAATTTGCAAAGGTGAGTATCTTCAGAACTTCCAGCTAATAGGGTTCTGGCAAACATACTACAAGGGCAGACAGCAGATTAATGAAAATATTTCAAGATAAGGAGTAAATTCAGTTTCCAACATCAGAATTTATGAGGTGCCACTGGGGTTTCAGGGAGGGCTGTTATCTGGTCAGGGAGAGCCAGGCAAGGGTGAGTTCAAAGCACGGACAGGAATTCCAAACAAGTTTAAACATCAAAATATGGTCAGGCCAAACAGAAATCTTAGTATTTTACAGTAAAACAAATGAACTTTACATAACTTTGTGACGAGATGGCTCCCAATCTTAAAATGAAGATTGGGTTCATCACTGCCTCAGCCACCGTAGCCACTGGGGGCATTGGCTTCTTGATCTTGGTCATGTACAGCCTCCTGGGTGAGGATAATCCTCTCCTTTCCAGAGCCCTTCATGGTGGCTGGTTCTCAGGCCATCCCTGAAATCTTCTCCCCATCTCCTCCCTTCTTTCTCCCAAGGCTCCTGCAGAGGGAATTGCCAGAGGTAATTGCGGTTCCAGTTCTCCAGGTTGGCCAGGATACTAGGCAGGCGCTCCATTCCAGAGCAGGAATACTTTTTTTTTTTTTTTTTTTTTTTTTTTTTGAGAGAGAGAGAGAGAGAATTTTAATATTTATTTTTTAGTTTTCGGCGGACACAACATCTTTGTTTGTATGTGGTGCTGAGGATCGAACCCGGGCCGCACGCATTCCAGGCGAGAGCGCTACGGCTTGAGCCACATCCCCAGCCCCAGGAATACTTCTTTCCCGACAGCTTCTCCAGGAATCTGACGGACGGACGCCTGCAGGCCTGACCAAGCTAACTCCCCATCACGCCCTCTCCAAACTGGTCTCTGTATCCTCCCGGTCCCAAGAGAGCCTAGGGGCAGACTAAGTTGGGCTAAACGCCTCTCAAAACCAGGCACCGCCTACCCTCCGGGGCGTGGCCAGGCGTATCTAACCCCGCCCCTCGCATATGACCCCGCCTCTTGTTTTGGCCCCGCCTCCCCGAGGGCAGCCTTCCAAGAGGGTTGCCTGACTCACTGCGCTAAGAGCGCAGGTCTTGCAGGCACCGCGGCCCCAGGTTCCTAGCACATCTTTCGGCTGGACTCTGTCGCCTGGTTCTCAGTGCTCGTTTCCTTAACGACGCAGGGTCGAGAGCGGCGGTGTCTCCCTCTCGAGAGAATCCTTAAGGAGTTGAGGGATTGGCACTTCCTTTCCAGACTGCAGCGCGCCCAAGACCCATTACCGAGCTACTCACGACCAGCGGAATGTCAGCAGTCGCCCAGGCCATTTTGAGGTCCAGGGACAGACGTTTTAGCTGGTTGATGTCGCTGGGATCGGCTTCCAAGCTGACCCGGTCACCTTTGTGCTCAGTTCTCGCGCGTCGGACGCGGGGCATTTTACATAGGTTTCTGTAATTTCGTCACTGGACATTGAGCCATGCCTTGGTGTTTTAAGTTCTACCTGCTCCACATCCTGCCCATTCTGGAGTTCCATCTCACTCCTCCTTGCCCCACTTTTTTTTCTTTCCTGTAACCTGCACCCCCCCACACATCCCCCAGCTCTCTGGAATCACCCTCCCCACTCTTCCATTCCGAAGCCCTATCCCACTTCGTCCCCCATTAGAAATTTGAAGTTGCTCTCTTAGGGAAGGAACAGGGGCCTAGTCCAGATTTGGTGGGGCCCATTTCCAGAAAAAGAGTATAAAATATGGGTAACGTTTGGTCACAATGTTTTATTGAGAGTGATAAAAGAAATATTAAACCGTATTCTTTTAAAATAACTGACCCAATACAAAGAACAACATAAAAACCTAGAAAAATAAATTAACTTAATGAATTTTCTTAACATATCTCCAATATTTTTCTCCTGTGATCCTTGCTTGGCTGCATATTGTCATTGCCACTTTATATGACAGTGATTTTATAATTTTATACAGAGAGGATAATTTAGCATTTCCTCTGGCATGCTTGATTGAAGTGTATTTACTGTAGATCTTTAGATAGGTTTATTTCAATTTCACTACTTCTTTTCTTTCCTTCTTTTTTAATATTATGGATGCTCTATTACATAGCTACTCCCCAGCCCTTTTTCTATTTTTATTTCGATACAGGGACTTACCAAATAGCTGAGGCTCACTTCCAAATTGCCATCCTTCTGCCTTAGCTTCCCAAGTTGGCAGGATTATAGGAGTGTGCCACCTGCCTGGCTTCCCTACTCTTTATGAATCATGGCATATACATTTTTAGGAATGTTATCAGATTTTGGAAAGAATCTATCAGGTTTTATACATGATCTCTTACAATGTCAGGGCATTTCAAGTTTTATGTGCAGCTACTAATTTTAAATGCTCTCAGAACTGACAGTGCTCATGAACCAATCTTTCCATAGACATTCTCATTCTAATGACATGAGTTTTGTGTTCAATCATCAAGAAATTTAAACATTTTCCAATGGGTTTGCTTAAATAATCTAGTTTGAATTACCTTGTCTGGTATTAGTTATGGTCTTATCCACAGCCCATTTGTACCAAGACAGTGGGATAAGTTTCTAGGAGACCAAAGAAAATGCCTGGAGGTGATGTATGATACATAGGGTTTTTTTTTTTTTTTTGGAAATGCTTATGGGGAAGGTTCAGTGGCAATAAGCTGAACAGATAGCCCCTCTGTCCCTCACTGTGCTTTGCCAGGCTGTGTCCCCTCTCCTTCATGGTGTTTTGTCCAAT